ATATTTCATTAAAAAAAGTTACTAGAATGTTCCATAAATTTTGCGCCTTAAAGGATTAAAACATAATGATTTTGTTTATGTGGACAGGAGATTGGCAGTTGTCAATTGCCAAATTCTGATTTTTATATCAGATTCGTAATCAGCGATGCTGAAAACCCTAGTACACTGTACTGTGCAGCGAAAAGATGGAAAGTTTTTCAATTGGAAAAGTGGTTCGCAAAACTTGATATTTTTTTACAAATTCTTATCAATATTGCAATATTTATAAGAATTTTTTAAAAATTCGGGCTCGACAGTTTTTTCTACATTGATTAATTTTTAATTAAAAAAAATTATTAAAAAAAATTAAATTAAAAACGTTTAATTAAAAAAATCCCGATAGCTATAAAATTGTGGTCTGTAGCGACTTTTGAACAGTAAATTTCTATTTGTTCCCACTGTGCGCTGTGCTCGTTATGTGGTTGAGCTGCGTTTAAGGTCCAAATCCTTCTCACGACAAGGTCGGACCATCAATTCGTAATGAGTTAGATCTCCGTGTTTTTACGTTAGTGACAGAGATCAAGATTTAAGATTAAGATTTAAAATTTAAGATCAAGATTTACTCATAACGAAATCGATTCAAGCGTTATGCATTTCACTGCGCTCGAATATCGGTGGAACCAGAGGTCACCCCTGATTGGTTCATTCGATCTCGTATTCAACCGGTGTGTTAAAGACTGAATTTAGTGATTGTATAAACTGAGTGAACTGTGCTATCGTGTCAGAGTAAAATATAATTATCCGGTATAAATTGTATTCAGATGCTTTTCTCATTCTTCTTTCCTTTTTCTTCCTTTCGTTCATTATCTTCATCGTTCCCGTTAGACTCAGGATCAGTAAACTTAAAACAAAGAATCCTTAAACCCGAAACACATAAACTCGGATCTCCTAAACCTAAATCAATAAAACCGAAATCAAGTAATCATAAGTCCTAAATCCGTAAATTCAAACTCGTAAACCTAACATCCATAAACAAAACACTCACAAGGTCATTAATTCAAAACCATATAATCAAAATCGATAAAATCATAAATTCGAAACTCTTAAACACAAGACCCATAAGTCAAAAACCAAAAAGCCATATCAATGAACCTCAAATGGGGAGATTGGTTGGCAAGAGATTGGCAGTTGTCAACTGTCAAATCCTTAAGTGTAAACACACGGTATTAGCGGCTACACAAAATTTTACAAGATTTTCGTCTTACCAGCTTGGTCCACATGCCTCGCTTCTCCTGGATCTTGATCCCGTTTGCACATTCCTCACTCGCGTGACTGGTCGGTTTGCCAGGACAGCGTACAATACGATTGGCTAGGCAAAACCTTCCCGAATACGGATCTTTGAACGAGAATTGATACAGCCTCCTATAAGCCCTTCGATGCCGTCGTATCAATCAAAAACACCATCGCAATCGAACCGTGAGTCATTTATCAATTTTGATACAATTTTGATACTCGCGCGGAAGCGAGTTGGATACTTTTATTCCGCGGTAACGGAATAAGCACTTGTGATCTGGAAGTCGCGGCTATTATGGCCACGACTATTATGGCTATCTGCATACAGAACGCAGTAACGCTTGCCGCGCGGCGAAAGTTGCTTAAGGAAATAATGCGGTAGCCAATCAATGTGCTGTTTTTCCGTAAGAGCTAGAAGGTTATTATGGAATATTGATTGGCTGTCGCACCAACTTCCACCGCGCGGCAAGCGTTGCCGCGTTCTGTGTGCAGGAACCATTAATGTGTAAGCTCCCACGCGTTATATCACGTGCGGAATAGCCATTCCCGCTTCTCGGCCTCCCTCGTTTGGCGTAACCAGGGAACAGATCCCCACACTCCGACCAGCCGCTGTGTACCTTCCCTCCATCTGTCCCGGCTTCGCTCTCCACTCCATCGGTGAGACGCTATAAATTAACAAAACACGGAACGGTTCCCCCACCGCGCGAACTGCCGATTACGGAACGCACACAAATACAAAAATGGAATATGTGCCGACCGCCTCCTCACGTAGCGACCGACCCCGCGCGATCCCTCTCCCTTCCTCCAGGCTTTGCCTTGTCATCGGCCAAATCCAGCATATCACGATGTAAAACAAAGTACACAAAAATTGATTTATTTGAAAAGTTTGGGCATGCTTAGGATTTTAATTGTATTATATATATTTTTTAATTTATTTGATTAATTAATTTATTTTATTTTACTTTATAATATTTTCCCAAAAGTAACTGTGATGTACTATTTAATAACATAACAGTTTAATTTGATCTAAATTTGTAGCATAATGAATGTAGATAAATGTCTTAATTAGTGACCAAATAATCTCATCGTAAAAATAAAGAAGTATATAAATTTATTAATGAAAGTAATAGGAGTAATTACATTATTCGAATATTACAAATCAGTACAAAATCAAGAATGCGTTACTAGCTTATTACTGACTTAAACATGGCAATTTATTGGCTAACACATATATATGTACTATTTAATACTTATACTATTTAATCTAGAGGAAAAAGTATGATATTAAAATGTTTGTTTAAGAGTCAAGCAATTAACTTGGGAAATCTTCCAACAAATGCAACGATCGGACTCCACATAATTGGAGGCTATCCCCCGCGCTCGCAGCTCGCAGATCACGCTGTCTCATTTGACGAGACAACGGTTATCATGCCAACTATTCCGCTTCGAAAACAATGTTTCACGAATCAGGTGACAATACGTGGAATTAAAAAATGTTATTGGTACACAATTTATGTCCCAAACACACGATAATTACCATAGCTTGATCATTCTATTGATTCGTGACCAATCAACGCGTGCCGTACATACAGTAATATTAAGTTATATTTACTTCTGGAAATCGTGACGGAATTTAGTTGCGAGTTATTTTTTTGAAAAGTTGCAACGCATATAAATCAGGCTCATGCCTCTCTCATTCTCGGCTTTCGTTCGTAAATTCTGTCGCCACTCGTTATGTATGTTTGCTGATGCCGTCGAGCTTCCTCCGCGAGCATAAGTTCAAAATATTCATATGTTAGATTTACGAGTTTGAATTTACGGATTTAGGACTTATGATTACTTGATTTCGGTTCAAAATATTGTCGCGGAGCGCGATTTCTTAGTTCTCTCTCAGACGCTGTTTCACGACAGTATGCAACTTTTACATTCAATAAATTTTCTTTGTAATTAGTATTTGTTCTTCTTCCTCTATGGAAGAGCTAACGATCGCATTTGTATTCGCACTTGTACATTGCCCCACGGCAAAATCTCCGTCGTTCGCGAGCCAAACGTGCATCAGAAGAGCCTTACGAATAACGCTCGGCAAGATATTCGTTACGCGCTAGCAACGCCGTAGTAACGAAATCGCACAAAGAGGATTTTCGATGAATGCGATTTTTGTGGTCGGTTGAGCTACCCTCGTTCAGAATCGCTTTCGCCGTGTGGTTACACGGCAAGTATACCACCATTAATAACTTATATGATCTGAAGTAAGCGGTATCAATATTGAGTTAAATTTTTCCCCATCCTTCCAGCGACTTCTTCCAAAGAATCTTGTGATATGTGCACAGCGCTGGATGAACACTCGATTGCTCGGCACAATCAACCCGAAACAATGCTATTTTTTGACTTTACAATAAACAAGATTTACCAACTACAGTTCTTTTTAGGAATATGACGTCATTTTTTTTCAATATGTCATTTTATGCCATATTTAATTTGAATTGTTACTATTCGTGTTTTGAACGTGTTCTAGAAGATATCTTGGAATATTCGCAAGACGTAAAATATGTTGGAATATTCGCGTATCGCTTTGTTCACGCTTCGGTCATATGAAATTAGCACGGCTGATTAGGATCTTCACATAACGCGATCTCATTCGCTAAAACCTCGGTAAACGACGGCAGCTTGTCCCAGCTTGATCATCCTATCAATTCGCGGCTAATTAACGCGTGTGGAATATAAGCAATATTAAGTTACGTATACCCCTGGAAATCGTGATGGAATTTAGTTGCATATTATTTTTTTGAAGAGTTGCAATGCATGTAAATCAGATTTCTACCTCTCTCATTCTGGATCCTCGTTCGCGAATTTTGTCGCCATTCGTTACGCATGTCTGCCGATGCCGTCGGGCTTTCTCCACGAGCTCAAAATACTATACGGAGGCACGTAAAACAAGCGAGCGAATTGAAAAACAGCACTTGAAATTCATGACAACGCGTAAAGTTACTAAACTCGATAACAAACATCTTTGGTCTCTGAAGGTTTTAAAACTCGTTCGCTGTCCACGTCCACGCTCAGTTTTGTTTAATCTCACAGTCGCAGCCAAACACTTTTGTGCGCGCCTTCGTTTCGGTTAATCACGCGCGTATCATCGTTAACTACTGATTTTATTAATCTCGCGAGCGTGTTTGCACGTCGTGGATTTTGTGCGAGGATGGCTCCCTTAATTTGTTAAAATCAAACAATTTTCGTGCCGTATTCGTAGATCGTCGGCCGTTTCGCGCTCGTGGCTAGATCTCCGTCGCGCAAGGGCGTTCCGTCGGACGTTCCTTAAGATCTCCGCCGTCAAACTCCAGCTAGTATCCAACGCGCAGAAGCAAGACCTTCGCTCGTCCGAAGGCTGGCCGAAGATCGTAGGCGCGCTTTCCTTCATCACGGATCTCTGTTGTCGTTTACCGAGGTTCCGACCAGTGATAGAAACTTTGCTCCGCGAGCAGCACGCATCAGCACGGGAGGGGATACCTTTGCACTCACACGACCATGTCCATGAGCCTCACGGACACGATCGCGTGAGTGCGTGCGTATCCCCTTCTGTGTTGATGCGTGTTGCTCGCGGGGCAAAGTTTCTATCACTGGTTCCGACAAATGAGATCGTGTGACGCATCGCGCGACGGGACGAGACATGAGGGAAAGCGTGCGTGAACATTCGGTAACCAGTTTATGAATTAAATTGTGACGATACTCACCGCTTCAGCACGTGCTGGACAAAATAGCTAGATACTACGAATCGATCGACGTTCAGGCGAGCGAATATCTTGCTCTTGCACGTTAGATGATGTAGTTTCGCGACGGAAATCTTGAATCGCGTCCGACGAAACACGTCGCAGATCTTGCGCGCGAACGATGGAGATCTTGCCGCGAAACAGCTACTCAATCACGAACGCGATACGGGCGTCAGCTCACAGGCACGATACGAAACAAACAATTAACTTCTTAACAAATGAGAATCGTTTTCGCACATAAGAACGCGTGCGCGCAAAACGAGTTTAGCCGACGGTACGCATATTTTCGTTCCTCCCTCACTCGTCAGGAACTTCACCAAGTCTCGTAATAATTCGTCTTACCGTCAACGTGGGCACTTCTGGCGATCGGGTGCTCGCAGAGCGAGCGATTTATACCCCGAACATTATTAATATTTTAATAACGGAAAAAAGGAGATTGGTGAATTAAAGTGCGCGAAATCTCATTGAAACTAAAAGGCGATTGTTTCTTAGCGAAACACACACACACACCACACACCACACACACGACACGTTCGATATACATCGAAAACTAATCGTTACTGCACTACTCGCACATCGACGGGTCTCGTTCAGAATGGTTACTATTGCGCGCTTTCGCGAAGCTTCCACCGCGCGCTTTCGCGAAGCTTCCACCACGCGGTTTCGTGGAGCTTCCACTGCGCGTTGTCGCCAGGTAACCACTGAGCGCTGTTGCGGAGCTTCTACCGCGTGCTGGCGTTGTCTCCTGGCGACGCATGCTCATAGAATAGGTCTCGCACAGTGGGTTAGAAGTTGAAGGCGCTAGATTATTATCACTATGCATATGGTATAGAAACAACGTATTTATTATTTTAGTATACGCCCACAAAAGGCGTAAACAAAGAGATTATTTTGGATACATCCTCCAACGCGTACACTTCATTCGTGTCGAGTGCATAGATACGCGCGTTCTCGCCTCGCCGCGCGCGATATCGTGTAGTCCGTGCGATTTAGGACGCGGCAGAAACATCTTGTTTAAATAAAGTCTTACTCCGCTTTCAACTGTTAATCGATGTTTATTTATATCAAAGGGTTGGAACCATTGGAAACAGTTTCAGACATTTTTGATGAGATATTGTTTGTCCCAAAAAATCGCGCGCTCTCTGATTTGTCAATTTTTTTTATCCATATCTCGAAATATTTGCATGGTTATTTGCAGGATGCCAGGCTAAAGATTTCATGCTCAGGCTGATATGGTCTGCTTTTACATATATAATTGTATATGTCTTGCGTCAAATATCCTGTAAATGTCAATTAACTACGAAAATTACGTATTTTATATTACTTTCTCTGATTATAAAATATTTTTTATCTTTCTTTCAACTTTGACATAATCTTTTCAATTGTTTCAAGCTAAAGCATAATTGCATGAATTTAACAAATAGGCATGTGATATTAACCGTATGACGTGATGAATTTTCGTCACCTCTCACGCCACTCTAAGCGCCTGACTATGGAGATGGGGATGATACAGGGAGCTCGCACCTCTTTGCTTTGAAAGGGCAAGGAAACGGCCGAGTGAGCGAACTTTTTGGCGCCGTGCGCTCTGATTAAATTAGCAAATTTACAAATTTATAAATTTTTCGAATTTTACAATATTCTCATCGTGAAATATTCTGTTATTAGAACTTATAAGTGATCTTATCATTGAAGCGAAGTATATCTGGAGGTTTTTAGACCTGCTCTACATAATAATATACACTGTTTTGAATATCCGTCCGGTTTCCGAGTAGCTGGGTAATCTAATTTAATCATGAGAGATTATAAGATTTGAAAAATTATCATATACATTAAATATACATCAGAAAAGAAAAAAGAAAAAATCCATCAGATTTTATCATGCTAATGCCGAGTGCATGTGATCAGTGTTTATAATTTTAGCTGTATCTCGAAAACAAAAAATTACACCAAAATAAAACAAAATGCATTTTAAATTTAAAATTGATAATTTTGCGTAGCCTTTACAAAATTTATATAAAAAATTTGCTGCTGATGTGTGCCATAAGGCTATGAGAACTCTCAAAATCCACATTTCTGGCCTTCTTGACGACACTTTTTTCAAAGTTCTTACTTGATAGGCAAATTTGGATGATAAGTTCATGTTCAGCAGACAAAAATATATTAGAGATGACTTCACACTCTGGCAAAAAAATCTTTGCAGGTCAGTTTTATTTGCTGTTATTTTGAATTTGACAAAAATTTTGTTTTTATTTATTTTGAAACTCATCATTAACACCATCAAATCGCTTCTTATATTCATTTTCATTTATTATCGAGAAACTTTTATTTTTCGTCTTTTGAGGACTACGCTAAGTTACCTGAGCAAAAATTGAATTTAGGGATTGTCTAGTGATGACACAGAAAAGTTGGATCTTATATCGTTACTAGCTAGGAATGTAACGTTCACTTCTTCTAGTGGCTGTACCAGAAAAATTATTTAGTAGCTAGATATAAAAAAATAACTTGTAACTATAATTGGTATAAGTACTAGACAGTTCTGATATCCAATTTCTATTCAGGATTTACCGATGATTTTCTATCTGGTTATTGTGTAATCCTTTTCATCTAGCCACTATCTATGTAATTGGTTTAGTTACTAGATAGTCCTGACATTCAAAAAACTGAGTAGGAATGTTTAGCCAGTCACGAGCTAGTGACTGGCTAGAAAACTTATCTAGTCATTACTATCTAGCTACTAGTCTTGAAATCTGCTCTACTAGATACGTTTTGGCTCGGATAATGTTTAAGCAAGAATTGCGTACGCTTATAAGTTAAATTGTAACAGAATATCACGGTGATTCACAAGAGAGGGATCCGGGGTCGTAGGGCAAAGTTAGCGAGCGAAGGCAGAGGAGTGTAATAGGATCCCATCTTGGAGTGGGAGGAGGGGACGAGAGTATAAACAATTCTTCTTATACTCCCGCTTGTTCTTGATTGCTGACGCTAATCTCGACGTTGTTGCTACCTTTTGAAATGTGGAGAAAGTAAGAGTTAATGAGCAACGAAAACTCTTCGAGACTGAGCACCCTTGATTCGTTATGATATATTGATCAAGATTGTCGAGTTCCAACTATTCTCGAAACAAATAGCTCAAACCATATAGCTTTGTAATGCAGGGTCTGTAAATAAAACAATTTCGCGTTCTTTCGCTTATACGAATAATTCTTTAGTTTTTCAGAGATGATATATGGTTCTGAAAAATAAGTGTACGTGCGGCGAAAATCAAACCCACACAATACAACATTTAAAATCGATACATAAGATGTTTTAAAGATGCCTAGTGACGTCTTATATTTCGATGCTTAAGAAACGTCACTAAATGCCTTTTAGACAACTTGTAACAATCCGTCCAATCACGCGTCAACGAACCGCAAACCGAAAAGCTAATGGATCGCTACTAAATAATTGATTTGCGATGTAAACACCGCCGACCGACCGCGACAAGCAATAACACCGAAGCACACCGAAATCGGTATAAAAGACGGCGCAAAAACCTTGAAAAGAAGCAGTCTTCCGGGGCATTCCGCTGAACAGAGGCTCTGATAGCAGAAGCTTCTCTCAAACACCGCTGCCTAGAGACCGCATCCTAGATCCTTCTCGATACCGCTCCGCCGACTCGTTGGATACGTAGAGTCGACATCCTCGAAGACTTGTTGGAAACGTAAAGTCTACATCCCTGTTACCGCTTCGTTGGATACGTAGAGTCGACTTCCTCGATACCGCTCCGCCGACTCGTTGAATTCATAGAGTCGACATCCTCGTAGACTCGTTGGATATGTAGAGTCTACATCCTGGCTACCGCTCCGTCGACTCGTTGGATACGTAAAGTCGACATCCTCGATACCGCTCCATCGACCCGTAGGACCGTCGACCGACCTACGCGTTACCTCCGAGACACCGCTCGACCACCTGACGAACTCCGACTCGTCGGGAGTCGCAGCTGCGCAACTCAACAGTATAAAGCGTATACCCGCGCTCGAGGGGCCGTCAAATCGAAGTCGCGTTTGGTGCGACTTATCCACCGCCTACCGAGGCAGGGCATCGCAGTGTCCTGAGACCACGATACTGCACCCGCTAGATAAGCGCGGCAACGCCAAACCGTGACAGCTCGAACACTGCACAGCATCGCGCATTTAGAGCATTCAATCTCTCGCCGAATAACGGATCTCGCCGCGACAAGATTTAGGCTGCGTTCGTTTTGGCGCTTATAGTACGTGTAAGCATCATTTGTCCTTGTTTAGTAGAATTTGATAGAAACAAGGATGAAATGAAGTGGTAAGCGCCAAAACGAACGCAGCCTTAAAGACCCGAACATAAACATCTCGCCGCGAGCGCGAGACAATCGACGCGTCACAACACCGACCGCGTCCCACGTCAGCGGCCCCAGCGTTTCCGAACCGTCAGCAGCAAACATCAACAAACTCGCATGGCGAGCACAAAAACTCGACCATTAAACCAACGGCGTCGAGATATCCTGTAAATATGCATTGTACATAGCCATTTGAGTTAGAATAGATATCATATTATTACCTATACCACTGTCTCCACATTTATTACATCTGCCACGAATCCGGGCCGCACTGACTCGCAGCATATCCCGCACCGAACGCAAATAGCGTTACAAACTTACGTCCCGATTTTAGACATTGAGTTGTATGGGGAAGCTTTTCAGCGACAGCCGAAAGTATTCGCCATAGTATACTTCTGTTGATGTACGATTCCTAATGATAATTCTTACGCAGTTCATGTTTATTCCTTCTACGTTTCGTCTAACATAAAAACCGGGATTTGGTTTTCTGTTCAATCTCGAACTTTATATTCTCGGGAATTTTAGTAGCGATTCAGTGCAAACTCTGGACACATCTAAGATACGTGTGCGTGGATTTGGTACCTGCTAGAAGGTCGAGACAGTTTTTAATAACAAAAATCTGAAATATCGAACTACACTTGGATGTGAAGATATAGATATATTTAATACAAATGTAACAATAGAATTCATGAGGCCGCGCCTTTCGCAAATTGCATCTGAATATGCCAGGACGAGCCGTCGGTCTAACTGTCGTCCTGTGCGCATATCATAACATTATACATAGGGTATTGCATAAAATCCTGTACAGTTCTTTGCGGCAATTCCACTTGTACTGCATTTTTAAGTGCACGAATACGACCTGTCATAACTAATGCCGAATATATTCATATGCTTGTATATGGTAAACGTCTCTAACGCCAATGCTTATCCTCCTGATGATTTCTTATCACAGCCCTTTCTCACAAGTTCGTGTGTAAACTCAGTAAACTCTCGCACGATTCTCTCGGGTCTGCCAGCTGTTCGCATTTATTCGCAAGTTTAAGGCATACCAATGTCAGTTATCTCTACTTTCCACACTACTAAACCTATTGTCTAAGGTCATCTACATATAAATTCCTTACATTTGTAAATCTTGAAATTAGGCGGAAACGAAGGAAAGTTTGTACACCTCTGAAGTGTTCGGAATTATTTTCATATTCGAGGCGATTTTCAGCTACGTCTACTACTTTCCTTCGCCGCTGGAAGGGCCAAGCAACTGATGGTCGCAACTCTCCGCCTTAACACTACTGATATTATGAAGCGTATGTATGTACTTAC